TACTTTCTCTTAAAATAAACAATTTAAAATTTTTCAAAAATTAACCCCAAACAAATTTTAAAATTCAAAATAAAGAATCATAATAAATATAATAATCGACTAGCGAAAAATGAGAGAAAAACAAATTTACCATCTCAAGGATTTTGTTGTGGCGGATCGAAGAACTTCGACGGGCTTGGCGGTGGTGCTTATGAATTGTAACTGGGCAGAAGCGACTGGGTCGTGTGGGGAAGAGGCTTGCGTTGCAGTTGACAGTTTAAGAGTGTAGAGTTTTGATGTCGATGTCATCTGTTGCGTTGTGAAGACTACAACGACAACTTGTTTCTTTTCCTTCAATCCATGCGTCAGATATTTGTCATCAGCCTTGCGCATTTTATCAACTTTTTAGATCAGGTACTTTTACCATAGGATGTATGAGTTTTTTAAGCATAGTTGATGACGATTCTTCAGTACTTTATTCCATATTCTATATTCAACTTTAAGGTCCCACGATCCTAAAACAAACATAAATGAAATTGAAAATAATAGTTTCATTATTTTTCAAAAATCGATTGAAAATGTAAAATATATAATTGTTTGATAACAAAAAGGTGTTATATAGGGAATACTGTAAAGGTTAACATGGTTAAACTTATTTATTGGTCTATTATGGTGAACTTCCAAAATTACAGTTGATTTAATAATAAACAATTTTAATGGTTATGATTGATTATTGGATAATCAAATATATTAGAATGTTATGGTGAACTTCAAAAATGACCATTTTATGTGCATGCACGCACACACTAATATTTTGTTAACTAAATACTTTAAAGGTTATGCTATTTTGTTATGACAAGAAATTTAGTAGTAGCACATGACATTTATTGTTGTTTGATTGAAATTTATAAGAAAAAAATTAATTGTTTACTATGTTTTAAAATTATATAATTTTAGCTGGTTAAAATATTAATTTATATATTGACGTGTTAAAAGTATAATAGAACTAATGTACATTAAAATATTGCGGGCTTGGATTATTCTTCTAATATTTGATGTATTTATTATACATCATTGTGCGTGCACGCGTGCACAAAAATATATAGAAGAAGATGATATTATTGTTGAGATAACATTGAATAGGAGATTGTAAATTATTACGCAAAGAGAAGAAATTGTTTGAAATTGGGAGTGCATGGTAACTTAAATTTAAAGTTCTAGTCTATTTCTTGTTGAGAGAGGAGGAAATTTTAGTGAATAATAAAACACGCGGAGTGGTTTCTATTCTTGTTGAGAGAGGAGGAAATTTTAGTGATGAAAAAAATCAGAAGGAGAGTTTATTGAATTGATTTGGGGAGAGAAGGCGAGAGACATCTATAAAAAGGGATATGAAATATTGCAATGTTTGTGATAAGAGGGGTTGGGGTATATTATAGACCTTTATGTCTCAGGAGATTTTTGACTAGGTAGTATGTCAAGAAGGTGAAGCAAAACAAAGCCTAAAAAAATTAGTTATCTTCAGTGTAAATTGTATTGATAACAACAAATAATTGTGCTATTTAATAAATAATTTAATATGTTAAAATTAAAAATAATTTTGTGATTGTTTGAAGGTACACTGCCTAATTTTTTGTGATAGATAGAAAAGTTGTTTCTTTAATAAATTTAAAGTATTAACTATAGGGATAAAACAAAATTTAGTGTTTATAATTGACCATTATTAAATACATTCTCCAAACACTATTATAAGTAAGTTTTACTTTTTTTATTAGATTTGATTATCAATATATTTTGCTTATATATGGATGAGATACATTGATAATCCAATTTATCAAAAAAGTAAAAGTTGTTTATAAAAATGTTCAGAGCATATATTGTATTTAAAGTGTTAAAGTTTCTTGGAACCATTGTAAACCCAAAAGTAAGTAAACACATAAAAGTTGGATATGACCAAATTAACCATTAAGTAAAGGATTATATTATATAAAATCTATAACCACCGTATAATAAATGTGAGAATGAGAAATAAACAAAAAAAAAATTAAAATTAAAAATTAAGAGATTGAAAACATCATGTACATTTTATCAACGTGGATTATTTATTAATCGGAAAAAACTTGAACTATATACAAAGGAGTTATTTTATAAATTGGGAGAATAATTTAACCGGAAATCCTAAATTTGTGTAGAAATAAGTCTCTCTTTTTTGTATCATCTTTGAATCAATTAAATCAAAACATATTTTTTTTGTTTTTTTGTTTTTTTGTTGTTGTGTTTTTTATGAAATAAATTAGAGACATATTTTTGTGTTTTTGTTATATTAAGTTTTTTTGTTTCTTTATAATATTAAAAACAAAAAAATTAAACTATATAAAATAAATAAAATAAATTAAAAAATAAATAAATCTAATAAAATTTCACCCCTAGTACGTACTGTTACATGTGTCCCATTATTTAAAAATGAATAAAATGACAAAACAATTAAAGTGCGTTTGGTTTCACTTTTGGCACAATAAAATCATGGTGCAATTGGTTTCAACCGTAAAATTAAAGAAACTATTAGTTGAAGCTTCTACTAGAAGTGTTTTTTTCACCATAAAAACACTATTTCCAAACATTCACTTAAAAGTACACCAATCATACTCACTTTTCTAATTTTTTCATATTCTCTCATGTTTTTTCAAATTAAAAAAAAAACAATTATACGATGACACATGGCATGTAGTGGTAATTTAAAAACAAAAAAAAACATAATATAACAATAACAATGAAGATAACCATACAACACATGTAACTTCCTCTCTCTTACATAACATTATTAAAAGTGACCAATTAAGAAAATACAATAACTCTATAACATAAAGAAAAAACAAAAACTATGAGTAAACCTCTCTTCTTCTCTCAAAAACTTTATCACCTACTTTCTCTTAAAATAAACAATTTTAAATTTTTCAAAAATTAACCCCATACAAATTTTAAAATTCAAAATAAAGAATCATAATAAATATAACAATCGACTAGAGAAAAATGAGAGAAAAACAAATTTACCATCTAAAGGATTTTGTTGTGGCGGATCGAAGAACTTCGGCGGGCTTGGCGGTGGTGCTTATAAAATGTAACTGGGCAGAAGCGACTGGGTCGTGTGGGAAAGAGGCTTGCGTTGCATTTGACAGTTTAATAGTGTAGAGTTTTGATGTTGTTATCATCAGTTGCATTATGGAGACGACAATGACAACTTGTTTCTTTTCCTTCAATCCATGCGTCAGATATTTGTCATTAGCCTTGCGCATTTTATCAACTTTTTAGATCAGGTACTTTTACCATAGGATGTATGAGTTTTTTAAGCATAGTTGATGACGATTCTTCAGTACTTTATTCCATATTCTATATTCAACTTTAAGGTCCCACGATCCTAAAACAAACATAAATGAAATTGAAAATAATAGTTTCATTATTTTTCAAAAATCGATTGAAAATGTAAAATATATAATTGTTTGATAAAAAAAAGGTGTTATATAGGGAATACGGTAAAGGTTAACATGGTTAAACATATTTATTGGTCTATTATGGTGAACTTCCAAAATTACAGTAGATTTAATAATAAACAATTTTAATGGTTATGATTGATTATTGGATAATCAAATATATTAGAATGTTATGGTGAACTTCAAAAATGACCATTTTATGTGCATGCACGCACACACTAATATTTTGTTAACTAAATACTTTAAATGTTATGCTATTTTGTTATGACAAGAAATTTAGTAGTAGCACTTGACATTTATTGTTGTTTGATTGAAATTTATAAGAAAAAAATTAATTGTTTACTATGTTTTAAAATTATATAATTTTAGCTGGTTAAAATATTAATTTATATATTGACGTGTTAAAAGTATAATAGAACTAATCACTACGCCAAAAATGATTTTTTGTATCACCTAATTTAATAGCACTTTTAAAAAAAATGCTATTAAAATGGAAAAAACACATTTATAATAGCACTTTTTAATCGGGCGCTATTATATAATACAGACTATGTAATTTTGATAGCACTTTGTACTAGAACGCTATTATTAAACTTCTTTAAGATAGCATTTTGTATAAAACGCTATTATTTGACTACCTATATAATAGCATTTATTAAAAAGCGCTATGTTATATATAATAATGAATTAATTAATTAATTGATAAAAAAAAAAAAACACATTTTCAGAAACTCTATCCCCAAAAATCCTCCACCTTCTACATCTTCAAACTCTATCCCCAAAATCCTCCACATCTGAACCCTCGCGAAACTCTGTTCCGTTCTCATCAATGGCTTCTGCTCCCTCTCATCGCACCGAGCTCGCCAAGCTCTGTAGCTCCAAGGACTGGTCCAAGGCAATTCGAATCCTCGATTCACTCGTTTCTCAGTCTGCTGCTGTTCAAGACATCTGGTGCAATTTTCAATTCTCTCCGATTCAATTTGCAATCGATGTTTGTTAATTAGTCTCATGTATGCTGATTTTTGTTCAATTTTGTTATTGTGCTTGTTTTCAGTAACCGAGCCTTCTGTTATAGCCAATTGGAACTGCATAAGCATGTGATTAAGGATTGCGATAGAGCGATTCAGCTTAACTCCTTGCATCTTCAAGCTTACATTCTGAAAGGTTTCTTCTCAGTTGTTAATTGATTTCATTCAGCTTTATCTACTTTATCAAATTGTTTGTACAGAAATATCTGCTGTGTAGTTACTAGTTAGTATCATGATAAGTGCTATTGAGTTCTAGTATGAATAATTGATGGATTACTTATAACTGAATTTGACTTTGGATTTTTGCTTAAGATTTTTAATTTGTTTATTGATGCTCTCCTTCGTTGCAACTTTAAACAAGTTTCCCTGTCCCCATTTGATTTAAACGCAAGCAAGAAAACAATAGACACACATTTCAATTTTTCAAAACACCCCGCCCGTTAGAACACTCTCTGTTCATCACTATCCAAAATCCCCAAAGCAAAACCCTAGAAATTCCACCTTCAACATGAACCAGTATCACATCTACGAAGCCATTGGTCGTGGCAGATACTGCGTAACTCCACCTACCTCTTCCCCCTTTCATTTCCATCTTCAATTTTCGCACTTCCAACTCGCGATCGATCTTACTCTTTTTCTTTCGTGAATTCGCAGACGGTCTATAAAGGCAGAAAGAAGAAGACCATCGAGTATTTTGCGATTAAAAGCGTTGATAAATCTCAGAAAAACAAGGTTCTTCAAGAAGTGAGTTCTTGTTACTTAATTATTCATAGCATTCATTATGTCATTTTTACACAGTTTTCTACCAGATCTTGAGCTCTATTCTGTTGTTGATTGCAAAAACTCATGAATTGCATTTTTTACTCTTCTGCAGGTTAGGATTCTTCACACTTTGGATCACCAAAATGTGCTCAAGTTTTATTCATGGTGAGAAAATTTAATTCTATTTGAATTGTTTAATATGATAAATAAAAAATATTCCTACTTACTAAAACAATGAACCCTTTAGAAACCCAGAAACCCACATTCTTCAATGAACTCTGTTAAATCCTTGCTTTCTTATGGAAGATTTCCAAATTTCTTGGGCTTGTTTGTCCCATTCGTTTTCGTTAGACGCCGCTACTGTAGTAACTTAGAACCCAAAAGTAACTAAACCACCTAAGTCCTTCTCTCAAGCCCTCAAGGGGGTCTGTGACATTCCATGTTCACAACTCCCCCAACCCATCTTAAAAGGGGATCGACTGTCTATTATTATCCATAAAACCAATGATGGATAGAACTTTTGGGCAGTATGTCAGAGTTTTAGTAGATATGGATATCTCAGCTGCAATTCGATACAAGGTTCTTGTTGAAACAAAAGGTTTTGCTTTTTTCTCTTATATAGAATATGAAAATCTCCCCCACTTTTGTACTCATTGTAAAAAACAAGGGCATTATATAGAGACTTGCAAGTTTAACTCTTCTGTTGTTCCCCCTAAAATAAGCTCGGTAGATGCTAGAAACATTGATCCTAAAGTTGTGCCCCAAAAACTTGTTTCAAATCTGCTAGATGTGCAAGACCTGATAGTGGTTATTCCCCCAACTGTTAAGGGTAAACAAAACATTTAAATTCCAGAATCAAGCAAAGCAAAAGATGACACAGGCAGCCCAGATAAGATCCCTGATAAACCACCTATGTCCCCTATTCTTTCGCCTATCTGCAATCTGAATGATTTTGGTGTGAGTAATAATACCGAGGTTTTAAGTTCGAATGATACATAAGTTGTGGAAGAATCGTTAAACTTGGAGGTTGTCAGTGTTAACTCTCAGGAAGACCTTAACATCCAAAATGATAAACGGTTTTTGGCTAAGTCCTGGGATAACCTAGAAGAACTTCCTGATGATCATGGGGATGATATAGAGGAGGAAATTGAGGACCCTAAAGCTGATTTTATAAGGTTCCAATTAGATCACTTGAGTTCTCAAAGAAAAAACTTAAAAAGAAAAACAAATTCCGATCAAACTATGTTACCAGATCAAAAGTTGGTGCTCATAAAACTTCCTAATTATGTGCATTTTATGGAATGCAAGGGGCCTTTCTAATGCCCCAACTAGACTTGCTCTAAAGTCTTTCCTAATCTCTCAAAAACATGAATGTTGCTTTCTTTCTGAACCTTGGACGTCGAGTTTAAACTTCCCTCCATCTTTCTTCCATAATTTAGGATACAAGTTTTTTCCCTAAACTCTCGGCCTAACCATCTCCCCAATCTTTGGTGTGTTAGTCTTAATCATTTAAACCCTACTGTTATCTCTTCCTCTGATCAATTTGTGGCTTTCAATTTGGTAGTTGATTCTGTAAACTGCTACTTTGCTGTGGTTTATGCCTTTAGTGTTATGAATCATAGAAAGCTCTTGTGGAAAGATCTTTCTTTGTTACTTGACAACCATCCTTTCCCCTGGTGTTTTTTGGGAGACTTTGATTCTATCTTGGGATCCCATGAACACCGTGGCAGAATCATTCCATATAATAGCACGTTTGTGGACTTCTCTCAATGGGTTAATCTCAACCAGTAAATTTAATGCTTGTTGTTACTCTCTTTTTAGTGCTGATTATGAAGATGAATTTCAGGATATTCAGCTTCCTGAAGAATCTGTTAATGAGCTTGCTTGTGACCTCGTTAGAGCTCTGCAGTATGTCAATTTCCCTTATGTTGTATTACTCTTATTTTGCAACACAATGCTCACAGGAAACTAATTTGGATACTCCTTTCTCAGGTATTTACATTCAAATGGAATAATTTATTGTGATCTGAAACCATCAAATATTCTACTAGATGAAAATGGACGTACAAAGGTGTTAATTTTTGTTCACTCTCTTTTGTATCGATGTTGATTGGATTAATTTAGTTATTTACCCATTTGTTAATATGAGCTGAAGTGTGTACCTATTACTTTGTTGATGCAGCTCTGTGATTTCGGATTGGCCAGAAAGTTAAAAGAGATATCGAAAGTTCCTTCTTCTTCGGTATTTACTAACTTTTGCAATTTCAGACATCCACATTCATATATTGATAGACCAATATACAACTATGGCTGTCATTTTTTCTGCTGAAACCAAATAATATGTTAATACATACTATGTCTCCTTACTTCTTTCTGTAGTTGCCTCAAGCAAAACGTGGAACACCCTCTTACATGGCTCCGGAGCTTTTTGAAGATGGCGGAGTTCATTCTTATGCTTCTGATTTCTGGGCTCTAGGTTGTGTACTATATGAATGTTATTCTGGGAGGCCTCCTTTTGTGGGAAGAGAATTCACTCACCTTGTAAAATCCATCATTTCAGACCCGACTCCACCTCTCCCTGGAAATCCAAGTCGACCTTTTGTCAATTTAATTAATTCTCTGTTGGTCAAAGATCCAGCCGAAAGAATACAGTGGCCCGAGCTTTGTGGTCATGCCTTTTGGAAAACTAAATTCTCTCTAGTGTCTCTTCCTTCTCAACCTGCATTTGATGATATGATAGAGCTTCATGCTAGGTCATGCGCTTTTTGCTTTGGGAAGGAAAGCAGATGCTTTAATGGTATGGGAGCAAGGCTTTGAACTTGCTCAGCATCAATCTGCAGATTTGAAGCAGTTGTTAGAACTTGAAGAGCTTTTGGTGAAAGAAAAACAAGGTAACAATGCATCGTATGAAACCAATGGACTGCCCATGCTAAACTATGTGGCAATACAAGTGATAAATCTGAGATCTTTCTAAAGTCCACTGATAAATTTGATGCAAAGAATGAACTAAATAGTGAAGGTAGAGAGTCTAATAAATGTGATGGCCAAGTGAATGGAAGCCCTGATGTTATTGATAATTTGCGCTATAACTCTGAGTCGTGTAATGATTCAAGTGATAATTCAGAATCATGTGATAAAGTATTTACTAATAGCGGTGAATCAAGTGACTCAAACGATGCTCCTGAAATTCTTAAAAAGCCCAGTTTTAAGTTTACTTTCCCCAGTGAAAAAAGTAGCGAAGCAAGGAAAAATAAAAAGTTCTTTGTTGCTCGGATTTCAAAGACAAAGTCTATAAGTGTAGATTTTCGGCTTTCACGGGGAATAGCAGAGGTTTGTTTCCGCAACTGCTGATTTGTAGTATTTATCTGTTTAATTGCGTAATTGATATTGTGATTATTTGTAGATTAACGAAGGGAAATATGCTCATGCTATATCCATTTTTGACCAGGTACAGTGTTGTCTTCCACAAAAAGGAGCAATGGGAGAGATTCATCAAATGATTTTGAAAAAGATACGAATTATGCGTTTGATCGAGTTGAAGAATTTGTCAATGTAATTGAGGAAGATCTTCGTGATTGTCCTCAAATGTTTGAGCGGATAGTAAGTGATGCAGAGACTCCGTTGTATGATGGATGTACTAAATTCACAAGACTGTCAATGGTCTTAAAGTTGTATAACTTAAAAGCACGCCATGGATGGTCCGATAGGAGCTTCACAGACTTGTTGTCTAAAAGATAGTAAGGGTGGTTTTGTTAAACATCGTCCGGCCAAATATTCTTTTTGTATAAAACAAGATGATTGGGATAAATTTGTAGCCCAACATATGACTGCAAAGTTTCAGGTAATACTTTTATCACTTGGATATGGATCCTTAAATGTTTGATTATTCTTTATATGTTAAATTAGTTTTTATTGTACAATACATAATCAATATTCCTTCTATGATACAGGAAAACAAGAAGCAATTATTTTGCCTAATTAGTGATTGTATCTATGAGTTCAACGCTTTTGGATCATGAAGGTGGTTACTACATGGGATTGTTTTGTTATCCTTTCTTATTTTTTTGGTGTTTTGTTTAGAGAATTTGATTGTATGTTTTTGGATTTGGATTGAAGTACTCATAGATGGGCATCTACAAATTTGGCTATGCAAACGCCCTCTTAATATTCTATATGTTATGATATTTGGAAACAATAGGATTTGGTAATTTAAAATGTTATTTGGTATTTGATGGATCATTATTCATATGCAATGAGTAACTTAAAGCGTTATTTGTGTTGAATTGAATATAGTAATTTTATATTTACACAAAAAAAAATGATTGTGTAAGAAAAAATATTGTACTGTACTTATTAAAAATATTGTACCAAATATGTACCATTTATTAGCACTTTATTTGAAAGTGCTATCAAACATATGTTATATATTAGCGCTTTTTGTTTAGAGTGCTATAAAAAAACAAACAAAAAACATGCAAAATACTGACTTTGATAGCACTTTAATTAAAACGCTATTATAAATTGGTACTTTAATAGCGCTTTAAAAGCGCTATTAAATAAGAAATATTTACAATAGTGGCGCGGTTAATAGCACTTTTAAGCGCTATCAAAAACAAAAAAAAGCGCTATTAAATAGCTTATTTGGCGTAGTGAATGTACATTAAAATATTGCGGGCTTGGATTATTCTTCTAATATTTTAAGTATTTATTATACATCATTGTGCGTGCACGCGCGCACAAAAATATATAGAAGAAGATGATATTATTGTTGAGATAACATTGAATAGGAGATTGTAAATTATTACGCAAAGAGAAGAAATTGTTTGAAATTGGGAGTGCATGGTAACTTAAATTTAAAGTTCTAGTCTATTTCTTGTTGAGGGAGGAGGAAATTTTAGTGAATAATAAAACACGCGGAGTATTTTCTATTCTTGTTGAGAGAGGAGGAAATTTTAGTGATGAAAAAAAATCAGAAGGAGAGTTTATTGAATTGATTCGGGGAGAGAAGACGAGAGACATCTATAAAAAGGGATATGAAATATTGCAATGTTTGTGATAAGAGGGGTTGGGGTATATTATAGACCTTTATGTCTCAGGAGATTTTTGACTAGGTAGTATGTCAAGAAGGTGAAGCAAAACAAAGCCTAAAAAAACTAGTTATCTTCAGTGTAAATTGTATTGATAACAACAAATAATTGTGCTATTTAATAAATAATTTAATATGTTAAAATTAAACATAATTTTGTGATTGTTTGAAGGTACACTGCCTAATTTTTGTGATAGATAGAAAAGTTGTTTCTTTAATAAATTTAAAGTATTAACTATAGGGCTAAAACAAAATTTAGTGTTTATAATTGACCATTATTAAATACATTCTCCAAACACTATTATAAGTAAGTTTTACTTTTTTTATTAGATTTGATTATCAATATATTTTGCTCATATATGGATCAGATACATTGATAATCCAATTTATCAAAAAAGTAAAAGTTGTTTATAAAAATGTTCAGAGCATATATTGTATTTAAAGTGTTAAAGTTTCTTGGAACCATTGTAAACCCAAAAGTAAGTAAACACATAAAAGTTGGATATGACCAAATTAACCATTAAGTAAAGGATTATATTATATAAAATCTATAACCACCGTATAATAAATGTGAGAATGAGAAATAAACAAAAAAAAAATTAAAATTAAAAATTAAGAGATTGAAAACATCATGTAAATTTTATCAAGGTGGATTATTTATTAATCGGAAAAAACATGAACTATATACAAAGGAGTTATTTTATAAATTGGGAGAATAATTTAACCGGGAATCCTAAATTTGTGTAGAAATAAGTCTCTCTTTTTTGTATCATCTTTGAATCAATTAAATCAACACATATTTTTTTTGTTTTTTTGTTTTTTTGTTGTTGTGTTTTTTATGAAATAAATTAGAGACATATTTTTGTGTTTTTGTTATATTAAGTTTTTTTGTTTCTTTATAATATTAAAAACAAACAAACTAAACTAAATAAAATAAATAAAATAAATAAAATAAATTAAAAAATAAATAAATCTAATAAAACTTCACCCCTAGTACGTACTGTTACATGTGTCCCATTATTTAAAAATGAATAAAATGACAAAACAATTAAAGTGCGTTTGGTTTCACTTTTGGCACAATAAAATCATGGTGCAATTGGTTTCAACCGTGAAAATAAAGAAACTATTAGTTGAAGCTTCTACTAGAAGTGTTTTTTTCACCATAAAAACACTATTTCCAAACATTCACTTAAAAGTACACCAATCATACTCACTTTTCTAATTTTTTCATATTCTCTCATGTTTTTTCAAATTAAAAAAAAACAATTATACAATAACACATGGCATGTAGTGGTAATTTAAAAACAAAAAAAAACATAATATAACAATAACAGTGAAGATAACCATACAACACATGTAACTTCCTCTCTCTTACATAACATTATTAAAAGTTACCAATTAAAAAAATACAATAACTCTATAACACAAAGAAAAAACAAAAACTGTGAGTAAACCTCTCTTTTTCTCTCAAAAACTTTATCACCTACTTTCTCTCAAAATAAACAATTTAAAATTTTTCAAAAATTAACCCCAAACAAATTTTAAAATTCAAAATAAAGAATCATAATAAATATAACAATCGACTAGCGAAAAATGAGAGAAAAACAAATTTACCATCTCAAGGATTTTGTTGTGGCGGATCGAAGAACTTCGACGGGCTTGGCGGTGGTGCTTATGAAATGTAACTGGGCAGAAGCGACTGGGTCGTGTGGGGAAGAGGCTTGCGTTGCAGTTGACGGTTTAAGAGTGTAGAGTTTTGATGTCGATATCATCGGTTGCATTGTGGAGACGACAACGACAACTTGTTTCTTTTCCTTCAATCCATGCGTCAGATATTTGTCATCAGCCTTGCGCATTTTATCAACTTTTTAGATCAGGTACTTTTACCATAGGATGTATGAGTTTTTTAAGCATAGTTGATGACGATTCTTCAGTACTTTATTCCATATTCTATATTCAACTTTAAGGTCCCACGATCCTAAAACAAACATAAATGAAATTGAAAATAATAGTTTCATTATTTTTCAAAAATCGATTGAAAATGTAAAATATATAATTGTTTGATAAAAAAAGGTGTTATATAGGGAATACGGTAAAGGTTAACATGGCTAAACATATTTATTGGTCTATTATGGTCAACTTCCAAAATTACAGTTGATTTAATAATAAACAATTTTAATGGTTATGATTGATTATTGGATAATCAAATATATTAGAATGTTATGGTGAACTTCAAAAATGACCATTTTATGTGCACGCACGCACACACTAATATTTTGTTAACTAAATACTTTAAATGTTATGCTATATTGTTATGACAAGAAATTTAGTAGTAGCACATGACATTTATTGTTGTTTGATTGAAATTTATAAGAAAAAAATTAATTGTTTACTATGTTTTAAAATTATATAATTTTAGCTGGTTAAAATATTAATTTATATATTTACGTGTTAAAAGTATAATAGAACTAATGTACATTAAAATATTGCGGGCTTGGATTATTCTTCTAATATTTTAAGTATTTATTATACATCATTGTGCGTGCACGCGCGCACAAAAATATATAGAAGAAGATGATATTATTGTTGAGATAACATTGAATAGGAGATTGTAAATTATTACGCAAAGAGAAGAAATTGTTTGAAATTGGGAGTGCATGGTAACTTAAATTTAAAGTTCTAGTCTATTTCTTGTTGAGAGAGGAGGAAATTTTAGTGAATAATAAAACACGCGGAGTGTTTTCTATTCTTGTTGAGAGAGGAGGAAATTTTAGTGATGAAAAAAATCAGAAGGAGAGTTTATTGAATTGATTCGGGGAGAGAAGGCGAGAGACATCTATAAAAAGGGATATGAAATATTGCAATCTTTGTGATAAGAGGGGTTGGGGTATATTATAGACCTTTATGTCTCAGGAGATTTTTGACTAGGTAGTATGTCAAGAAGGTGAAGCAAAACAAAGCCTAAAAAAATTAGTTATCTTCAGTGTAAATTGTATTGATAACAACAAATAATTGTGCTATTTAATAAATAATTTAATATGTTAAAATTAAACATAATTTTGTGATTGTTTGAAGGTACACTGCCTAATTTTTGTTGTAGATAGAAAAGTTGTTTCTTTAATAAATTTAAAGTATTAACTATAGGGCTAAAACAAAATTTAGTGTTTATAATTGACCATTATTAAATACATTCTCCAAACACTATTATAAGTAAGTTTTACTTTTTTTATTAGATTTGATTATCAATATATTTTGCTCATATATGGATCAGATACATTGATAATCCAATTTATCAAAAAAGTAAAAGTTGTTTATAAAAATGTTCAGAGCATATATTGTATTTAAAGTGTTAAAGTTTCTTGGAACCATTGTAAACCCAAAAGTAAGTAAACACATAAAAGTTGGATATGACCAAATTAACCATTAAGTAAAGGATTATATTATATAAAATCTATAACCACCGTATAATAAATGTGAGAATGAGAAATAAACAAAAAAAAAATTAAAATTAAAAATTAAGAGATTGAAAACATCATGTAAATTTTATCAAGGTGGATTATTTATTAATCGGAAAAAACATGAACTATATACAAAGGAGTTATTTTATAAATTGGGAGAATAATTTAACCGGAAATCCTAAATTTGTGTAGAAATAAGTCTCTCTTTTTTGTATCATCTTTGAATCAATTAAATCAACACATATTTTTTTTGTTTTTTTGTTTTTTTGTTGTTGTGTTTTTTATGAAATAAATTAGAGACATATTTTTGTGTTTTTGTTATATTAAGTTTTTTTGTTTCTTTATAATATTAAAAACAAACAAACTAAACAAAATAAAATAAATAAAATAAATAAAATAAATTAAAAAATAAATAAATCTAATAAAACTTCACCCCTAGTACGTACTGTTACATGTGTCCCATTATTTAAAAATG